ATCGTAAAAACGATTCCTTTCGAATCATCAAGTTCTTTAGGACCTTTAGATTCTGAAGTTACAGCGCGAGGAAGAGCAAAAAGGTATACAAAATCTTTTTTTATATATTTTATATTAATTTATTAATTTGCAGACAAACTAGTGCAATCTATGATAGTGCAAGTAGACGAGCAACTATAAGTCATACTGGAACTATAATTGATAACAATAATCATAACCTTATGGGAACAGGTGCAATTTCTGGTGGTAAACATCAACCTTTTGGTGTTGGTGGAAGTTTGGATTATACTCATAAGCCAAGTGCTAGTACTCTCAGTGCTTCAGCTAAACATCTTGATGGATTAGGAACTAATGTTGGTGTATCCGGCCGTTATAATTTCATAAATGAACGGAATACTCAAGCATATATTGGAGCAAATTATGATAGACAATATGGAGGACCTTCTGGAACGGGAAACCCCAACTATGGTGTATTTGCTGGGTTGACACACAGATTTTAATAACTCAATTTAAAAATTTATTTAAAAAACTACAATTTATTGTTAGATGTGCCATTAAAAATGTATGATTTCATCAAAAATAATATAAATAAAAGTTGTAATTTAATATTATAGAACATTAATCTATATTAATTTTAACATCATTAGAAACTTATAGAATTTAAGTATTCGATCCTAGGTGAAGCCAATACATTTAAAAGTAGAACACAAGAAGTTGACTTTTATGAGTTATAAATGGAATTCTTGGTAAAATCGATCAACGTTTGTAGGCTCTGAACCATAGATTCTATGACTCTTCCGTGTAAAACCATATCGTCCACTTAAAGTAAGGCGTTAGCGTTAGGATCAAATATTTCCCAGTTTTCAATATAAATGTCGTGACAATATCCTGAGGGAGGTCTTGGGAGATGGTGAATGAACGGTTTGAAAGAAAATAATTTATCAGATTTAATAGATAAAGCTGTGTGTTCAACTTGTCAAACTTGAACGGTAGATCTCAATGCCACACAGAATCAAATACTTTCTGGACATCTAGTAATATAACAGCGGATTAAGTAATTGAGAGTGTACTAGTTGAAGAGACGGTGGTCTATTAACTTGGAATGGTGTACCGGGATCTTGCGCGTCATCGACTACCGCAAGCTATTCAT